TCCGATCTCGGGTGGGACCAGGGAAACGGTCAAGAAGCCGGAGGCACCCGGCGAGAGACACAACGAAGGACAATGTGAGACTAACAGGTGACACACGCTCCCAGACGCACGTGCCTGCGCTGCTGACTGCATGATCCGGCCTGCTCGCCGCTGCCGCTTGCCGGAACAGGATGCGCCGGCCCACGCGAACCGAAATTAGACAACCTGCCAGGCTGACTGAAAGACCGTATTTGTCGCTGCACTTTATTGCTAGAACGCAATAAGATACAAGTAATGCTATAAGCCGGTCTTATACAGCCATGCTGCACGAAGTTCACATGGGATGAAAGTAATAAGTTTGGGTTGGCAACGGTCGTGCCTTACCGCTAGTTGGTGGCAACAGCTAAGGCAACGGTGGCTGAGACGCGAAACCAAGTCTTAACATTTGATTAAATTTCGCCCGAACATTATCAACAAGATTTTGTCAGGCACCAAATGTGTGCGCATGTAATCACGACCAGCCCTTTCCGGCATTGAAATTGGTTGACATTATTTGCGTTGTTGTGTTTGCGCTACTTGACCCGATTTTGGGGTGCAATAGACAACTAATTCAAAAACGCAGTTCAAAACTTCGACCCATTTCAGTCATAAATGAGACTTTGCGGACAACTGAAACCTCCGCCTTCGTGTGGCCGTAATGAATTCCGCTCCGAAACAAACAAACAAGTTAGTTGGCAGACAAGCGTTAAAACACCCACTACGCAAAACAACGAAGCAAGGTGCATCCCTAGAATGTCAAAAACTTCCGTATTCTGCGTTTCATTCAGCAATGGTGTCAACCAAGCGATCAGCACCCGTGCCGCACGTCACATGCATACTTGTTTTCTCACGCCGCCGAAGGAGTGACAATTAGCCTCATCAGCCACCAGCTACATCTTTTTTATTGGTACGTGTCATGAAGCCTTGCGAGTGTTCTGACGTGTATCTACTAATCTTCCACCATATCCTCACTTAAACATGACGGACGTCTGCGGTGTGCCACCCCCGCGCAGCGTACCTAAATACCGAGCAGAGCCCAGCGCTGCTCGGGAGGGTGCAGCTGAGGCCCGCGGCAGGGCGCAGCTGAGGCCCGCGGCAGGGCGCAGCTGAGGCCCGCGGCAGGGCGCAGCTGAGGCCCGCGGCAGGGCGCAGCTGAGGCCCGCGGCAGGGCGCAGCTGAGGCCAGTGGCAAGGCGAAGCGGAGCCCCGCGGCAGGGCGAAGCGGAGCCACGCGGCAGGGCGAAGCGGAGGCCCGAGGCAGGGCAGTGGTCTTCCGAAACGAAAAGGGGAAATGAATTTTCAGGTCCTTTCGTACGGATTTACACAAATTTTTGGGCTAAGTGCGGCCAGATCACGATCTCTTTCTGACATTATGGCTGTCGATAAACCTCTTGAGTCGTCACAAGACTACTTCCAGTCATTTTCGTCGCTATTGCCTACATTCATTGCCCATCGCAACTCCAGTATTACGGTAATGCAAGTTGGCAAGAACTCCGCGGTTCCCATCACTGCTCGAGACTCCCCACCATTGGCCGGAAGGCAGCTCACCGCAGTCCTCAAGACAGCTACCAGCGACATGCTCTTGACGGTGTCCTCCGTCCGCCCGGGCCGCAATCCTGTTCCGGCCACATCCGGCAGTCGGGGAGTGCACTGGCGCCGCCAGTCTCGGGCCGGCGGCGGACAGAAGAGCGGACGGCTACGTACACAGCACGCCACCGAGTACCGCCTTCATTTGCCTGATGAAGCCACGTGGTGCGGAAGCTGCCCAGACCCTGACCGGCGGCTGCTCAGCAGCTGACGTCCGTGTCACGCGGTTGGTGACAAGATCGGAGGACCACTACTTCCCCAATATAGCTCGCGCGTCAGACCACGGCCGCAGACTGAGCACATTTACGCCCAGCCCGGTCGCCGGCTTCGGTGATGTCGCACCTCCAGAGTAGTGCGATCGTCCTCCATAAGGCCGACGCCTCTTGGGGCTTACGACATTCGTCGTAAACATGCACAGTCCTTCCTTGAAAGTCATAGTACCACACTGGGAAAATACCTCGCTGAGCAGGCAGTGCGGACCAAAGGAAATGTTGTCGATATACACTGAGCGGTTACCAGCCAGAAGAACTTAAACATGTTAACTGAGCAAACGGTACACGGCATCAGCTGCTTCGTGTAACTCCGTTACTGATCACCGCATGTGTTGGGTGTGTATATGTTTGATAGCTGTTGTGCAGCAAACTTAAGGTGTTAAAAAAGCTTGATCCACATAATTTTTTAGATGACTGAACAGCAGGCGTGAACCCTTTCAGATAAGTTTGTCACCCAACTATGTGCAATGACATGGAATGCTGTTGATCGTACGTGTCGTGCGCTTAAGTTACCTGTTAGCACGAATAATTCACGTGTTGGTGGAGTGATTTGTCGTGAAAAGGCTTTAGATGTGATCTACACGCTTAATTAGTGCTAATTCAGATTGTTTTGGTCGTGAAAGTATACTGACCAATGCCCTGCTTGTCGGCGCAACTGTTTTCTGTTAAAAACAAGACAAAACAAAGAAAAGCTGTGAAAAGCTCTGAAAAATGCGGAGAACATAAAAACATCTCATCCAAAGGCAGCTCTTTGTCATTGCGGCTCTACGACGCACTCAGCTGCTGAGGCTACGTGGCGTCGCCTGCCTCTAACCCTGACATACAGGGCTCGCACCGCGGGAAATAATTGCATCCCGTATCTCTGGTTTCCCAAACGCGCAACTTAACCACAACACTGCCAATATCACAGGTTGTTATCTACCGAGCACGAAACGCTGGAAGATCAGCAAACATCACACACATTACTAAGCATAACAATCCACTGCATTATGCGGCAGGTTTAACCTAAAGCCTTCCAGTGCGCTGGACCTACCATTAACTTGAATGTGGAATCTGCTGAATAGAAGCCATTTCCATAATGCAGCTGGCGAGACGACGCAGTCTAATACTCAAAGCTTTTGATACAAAACAGACACTAACATAGCTATTCCGAGACGTGCCGGACACGGCACTGACTATTCACATTATAAAGCCAAAATCCGCAAGCAAATAAAAAGAGACTGAACAACCTCATATCTTTGCCATTCTGTGACTCAAATACAAGACGCACCTTTTGTTGCATGAAATAAAATGTCTGGCGAGATTTCACAAGACCAACTTTACTGTTCCCCGCAAGAACGAATATTCACATTTGTATATATATATATATATATATATATATATATATATATATATATATATATATGCCGTGCATCATGGCAATCATGACACAGAAAACCTGCTTCCCGCTTGTGCTAAAATCACCGTTATCAGTTATGTATGACACAATGACAATACCCAAACTGGCAGCCTATTACTTCAAAAATAATGACGACATGTACACACAATCGCCCCAGACAAAACACCATGCAGACCGACACCACTTTCCAATCAAACCAAGGCAACGATAAGATCAGCGGTGTGAAGCAGTGCGGTAGGAGGGCAGCTTTCATAAATGAACACGACGCAAATACATTGTCGTCTTTCGAGCACTTTATATTCAACCACTAGTAGTGAAACTAGCATACAAGCGCAGGCATCTGTGGGAGGAGGGGGGGGGGGGGGGGGGGGCATTTCAACCCGCCAATGCACGACGAACTAAAGCGAAAACGAAGAGAAATCAGGAATAGGATGACAGGAGTGCTAGAACACGACGATCTTACATTGGCAAATCGTTCAAAACATTCAATACTGCCCGTTCCCAGTGTTCGACATCTCCCAACCACCGATAACACCGCGAGGAAAACGTGGCGAAAAGGTGGGGTGATTGGTGGTAGAAGCTAGGGTTGACGGGAAGCGAGAGGATTGCTCGGTAAATATGCTCGCTCGTCGTTTTACGGCCATGATAAGATCTGCACCGCGCTGACAGCCCGACAATGGCAGATTACACGATGATATAATGCGCTTCACGGCGTGTCATAACTCTGGACATCGCGGAGAGGGGCTCCGGAGGAGTTTTAGTCTATCACATTTGGTGACACAACAAAAGAAAACTTAAATCGCGGAAAGTTAACGTTATATGGAGATCGGGCCGAGTAGGAACAATCCATGAAGACTGTGTTATATCTGACACCTACACGTGGCACTAGATGGAGACCGCTGGGTTAGTGAGATGTCCTTTATTGTGAGATATGGTGGAATGGGGTATTGGAATACAAAGCAATTCAGCTAAGGAACTAATGCAAATCTGCAAAAGTGGAATTGTTCAGCCATTTTATACCCGCGAACTTCTAATGAAACAAAAGTAAAGCGCGGGGCAATTGGCGATGGGGGGTATGAATCGGGGGGGGGGGGGGAGCATGTCAGAAGACAAGGTGGTCAAGTTGGGTGGGCTTAACGCGCGCCTACATTTTCTTTTTCGTCATATTAATTCATTTCTATTATTTCTGTCTATTCATATCATAATCCTATGGAAAATATTTCATTTTGGGTAATTCATGTCGTACCACGTTCCACGAAAGAAAAGATACGACTGCATTCAGTTGCATGCATTAATGTGCTGGAACAGGGGCATAATTCGGAGGAGCTGTTTTTTGACTGCAAAAAAGAACCGCACATCTGAAATGCTGACACTTTTGAGTCTTTTATACGGCAGCATGATATGCACTAAAACCCTGGCATAATGGAAGTACCGGCATATGAAACTCACTTCGCAAAGGGATAGTTAATTTCAGCATTGTTAGTGGCAAACAAACTGCAACAAGGACAGCAAATGGTCAATAGTGACTGGCGCCGGCACAGACGTGTCAGGACCGGCTGAAAGCCGCACCCGAGCCGCTGCCGCCCTGAACGAATTACAGCACCGTAGCACAAGCAGCATCAGTTTTTCCGGGAGAACCTCGCCTCGTCACCTTCCTCTCCGCTGCCCCAACAGCTTCGCCCACCGCAGCAGGAGGCACTCGATGGGCGATAGACGGGTACCCACCTTGACCCGGTCGGCTCGCACCAGGTACGGCTCGTCGAAACTGTGCTGGCAGTTGGAGTAGCCCATGCCGAGGCCTGAGCCCAGGCCGAAGGTCATGGGCCACGCCCGTCCTGCGGAATGGCACGGCCCGTCAGGTCACTGGGGACAACGAGGTTCCAGGCCGAGAAACGCCATCAAATCACTGGAGCCAGCTCCCCGCACCACGAAATCTCCTTCTCCTGTTGCGAACGAGGCCACGGGCAGAGTAAGCCTTACCTAAGCTTTGATAACATTTTCAACTTAGGCGATTCGGTCGCGTCGTCACGCCTTCACGAAGGCAATATCTTCGCAGCGACTGATCGACTATTTACGCCATTTTCAACAAGAAATACATTGCTCTAAAATAGTAGTGCAGAAATTGCTGTGAATACGCGTACAAACTGCTTGGCCAGACGGTATTTTCCTGCAATACCGCAATATCACGTCCCAAATTTGATTACCATGGAAAATGAAAACCTTCAGATTGGGAGAAATTGTATGACTAGGTAGAAACTAGGTGAAGATCTCGATCGCCCGACGTTGCAGCGGCACAAGACAAGCTATTACTGACGCAAGAGAGAAGGGGTAAATGTACTGGCCAGCGCGGATCAAAGTGTGCGAATCAGCACGCAGCCTCTGTGCGCAAATCATGAACCGATTAGCTTATGAGGCCTTTTTAGGACAGAAAATGCCAGTGTCCTATGCCTGCCCACTTTGGATGTAAAGCAACACCCTTTGAGGAGGAATCTTTCACTCCTCTTCCCCACATATTATGTTAATTTTTCACTCCAACCTGATATTGCCTAACCACACATACTTAACGCACATTTCCCTTCCAATGGTATTAAAATGATATCCGAGTCGGACCCACTTAAAACTATCAAGTGTAAACAGGGCTCCACAGAACCTGGACACCTATGGCTACATCGTGCCCCACCTACATCTGAATCCTATAACGCTTATGTATGCACAGAGTAAGGGTACTAGGTACAATCAAGTGCGAGAGCCCCAGTGTCCCCAGCCGCTTGCATTTATCAATCTTGGTTTGTTTACAAAATGCATAACAATCTTCAGCTTTGTGCGAAATACCAGGTTTTCTTGGATCCCCAAACTACGTAAATATCATGTGAGCAAAGCAAAGTCTAGTACAAACACCAGCAAAGCATGTTAGATAATTTGGATCGACGTAGGTATTTTTTCCGAAGAAAGTTGACTACCCACTGCACAACTCTCTAAATGCAGGGGTGAAAAAATCAAGGCATGCATTCTGAATGAAATTTAAAAGCTAAATGTTGCCATTTCAGCCCTCATTTGTACACATTTATAGTCAACTGTGTTGATTAAAAACTTTTACCGTGCAGATTAAGTTTTTATGCTTATTTTATCATTTTTGTTTACCTTGGTTTCATACAGAATTGATACATTCATTTTCGATAATCTGTAAAGACAGCTAATGCCTAAAATGTTTACCAATTTCTCTGCCAAATTTTCTAACGGCAAACTTGACCATGATTCATAAATATATCGAATTAATTCGCCAGCTGTCCAAGCATGTTTGATATGCACCCAAGAGTGAACAATTCATAGGGAATGAAGGACACAATTTGAAGCAAGAAAATCATCTTAAAGCCACTTTTGCCTTGCTAGACCCCTAATTAGCCTTTAAGTTGTTTATGGCGTGGCTCGGTAGTGATAATCTAAGCTATTCCAGCCATTTGGATAAGCGACAAAGATTACACTAGGCAGTATGTTCCTAAAAACAAAATGTTGACCATGGGTCATTTTAAGTTAGTGACCTATTCTGACCTATAAGGAGTCCATAGAAGGTGTATAATGCAGTTCCTGCCATCAATATGTTCGAAATGAGCACCAGAAACCAGCCCCTACAGCAAGTCCGAGTAATGAAAACAGGTCGGTTTTGACCTCGATCTGACCTTTACGCCTGGCCCTAGGTAAATGCAATTTGTTTATTAAATTGTTGTGTTACCTAAGAAAGTATCTCAGGGATGTCTGGTCTCGTCTAACATTCCGTTGTTTGATCGGATTGAACCAACCCCCAGAACGTGCCTTCGCTGAAACCGAGGCCTAACTTTGACCTGCCATAGGTCAGGGACCTTACAAGGTACTCGTAAATTTTTGATGTCAGACGATCCGCTATTCAATTGTTTACAGTTATGCCATATTTGGCGCCGCTACACCGCGCCGTTCGGAAACCGATCCGGAAAAACCTTCGTGGGGTCAATGTGACCCCCACCCGAGCGCGTGCTAAGCAAGTGAATACAACAGTAGTAATACCCTTATTCCTTGGAGAAAAACCATGGATAATGTAAAAATACATACGTTGATAATTCTCCAATTCGTTTCGATAATGACACGTGCCCGATAAATCAACGCATCTATATCTCCATACTTCTGGGTTTTCTCCGAGGAATAAGATTATTACAACTGTGTTACCTATGCCACGCATACCTTTGGGACGAACCTGGCACAGCTAACGCAAAAGTGTTTGGTAGCAAAATTATGCAGTGCAAAATTGTTTTATTATATCCTTAGTGCAGAGCTCCTCTTACCCACTTCGCATTTTAATCTTGTAGGTTGGTGGACATGATTGATATTTACGCTTTCAATCCTTAAAGTACAACCCCTTAAGCTGCATTACCATGAACTCCCGTTGGGACTTTGTTTGGGAGGGAGCTCACGGTGAAATGCGGTGTTATGACCGGAAATCCCGCGCGGAAATTGTGAGAAAACCTGCAATTTGATAGTCCCGCGAGCTGTGCGAGTGTGGAATCACACTTATTTTAAAAGAGTGTGATTCTGGTTTGAAATGAGTGCGATCACTAGTGGTGCGTGCCAGTGCCGTGTACTGACCTTGATGTGATGGGAAGTGTGCGTGCGAGGTTCGTACTTCTCAGAGAGCATTGTTTTAGTATTCTCTGAGTCCAATGACTCCCAATAAAATTTGATATATCGATTTCTGCTTCTATATTTATGTTTGTGTTTGAACAGGACAAGGTAGTGATACTCGTAAACTGAAAGAAACGCTAGTGCCTATGTTGAAAGGGTGCCGGTAGTGTAGTGGTTGACGCGTCTGCGTTAACCACTGCGCGTCTGGGAAACCAGAGGCACGGGGTTCGATTCCCCGCGGTGCCCGCCCTTCCTGCCAGGGCGAGAGGCAGGCGACGCCATATAGCCTCAGAAGCTGAGTGCGTCGTAAAGCCCAAATGACGACGACGACCTATGTTGCAAGGGTATACGAAAGCGATTTGCTACTTCATTACGATTTTGTGAACATTTTGAACCTATCGAAGCATACAGCATGTAATTAATTCATTGCATGCCATTACATTAGCAATTCATTTCGGCGGTAGGGTCCGGTCTGCGCAGCTCATTAACGCACATGTTTGGTATAGGTTCACATGATACAGCTTTGCAAAATTGTCTTCCTCTTAAGAATTCCAAATTTTGTAACCATTGCTTGTGAGTCATCAATGTCATAGTCACTGCAACTTGTGAGATGCTCGGTGCTGAGAAAGGTGGAAAAGGATTGCATGTTGGTTTCTTGGATAGCCCTTAATAATACTTTTATCATGAGCCTTGTGTGCACTGGCAGCTTCATCACTTCCTTGCATTCCACCCATCTAGCCATTACTACATGCACTTGTCATTGTCTCCAGCTTTGTGGAAGGTTAACCGGTTTGCAATGTCATATCACTGCATGCAGTATTTTCTTGTTATTTTTTAGTGAAAGAGCCTGATGGCTGCAGAATGTTGCATGGCCGTGGAAGTGGAAGACATCTTTGCCATCTGTGTTCGTTCGCATCTTTGCCACCTACGTTTTGTGGATTTCCAAAGCAGGCTTACCAAGTGATGCCACTTATTGGTTGTGTGCTTTGCTGAAAGTGATTTGCATATTCCATCATGTGTTTTTGGTCAGTAACATGTCCTATGCTGAAATGATGCAGGAATGCACCATTGGCCCATCTTTTTATGATGAAATTCATTATGAAAGCAGCAGGGATCGCGGTACAGAAACCACATCGTTGTTCACGCCATGCCACAATACAGCACTGGGGTAGTGTCACAATGACGCTGTTGACTTGTGCCATTGCACAATGTACCACATTGGTTGACTACTCCATGTCAAACCTATGAGATAACAGTTTATAGTTCATGGATAACTGGCAACAACTGATTTAACAACGCCAAAGAACTATCACCGTCGAGAATGGTGTCACATTACAATGGTCATATCAGGGGAAACTGGTGATTGCATAAATCGTCCTAAGAAAGAACAACATTCTTGGTAGCCCAACCTTACCATCTTTACCAAAGCCATAACAATGTTTTGGCAATCAATTCGTAAATATTACATTTTTCTTAATCTTTGCATGCAAAACGGTCTCTGCATTTCCAGTTACAAACAAAGAAAGTGACTCCTGTGCACATCACATGATATCAATGTCGGGACTACAGCACTGATTAATAATCTGCCATAAAGCCCGGCGATCGCTGCGTTGCGTATGTCAAATATTCCACTAAAGCTTTTCTCACGACCAGTACCAAGACAAAAATCCACAAACAAACTATCCACTAATTCGTCACCCCACACAGCGCCCGCGACAAGAATGGCAGACCGGCGTCAGCTTTTGTGCGTTTCGAGATATTCTATACGTCTGGCTGCCATTCATTACGCCATCAAACGATGACGTAATGGGGCGCATTTTTAAAAGACTTCGAAATTTTGCTATTTAGGCTCGTTTTTGAATCCTGAAAGCTTACCTGTACCTACAAGCAGGCTTTTTCCATCGTGCCTGATGCTTATCTCAATATCTTCCAATGTGGAACATTCCCTTGAAGTTGGTTACTTGCATGGTAAGTAGCGGAAGCAATTTACACAGATTCAGTGACTCAAAAATGCTGCTGAGATGCAAATAGGTAAGGCAGGATGACATGAGGTGAGGCTTCTTTTGGTTAGGGTTCGTTCGGTTATTCTCGAGCAGGTAAACACGGGTATCTTGCCAGAAACAGTGACACAATATTTGTTTTTCCTGACACCATTTTAACAGAAACAAAAGTATGCTAGTTGTTT